TTCCACGAAATGAGACGCTAGCTTCACATACACATATCCGTACATTCATTCCACGCTATTACGCTTTATATGAAATAATATGTTCTCAAGTGTTTCTAGTAAAGAAGATCATCTTCAAGATAATTCTCAGTATTTACAGGTTTAATATTAATAGCAAGTCACAGACGGTAAAAGGACGCGTTGAGCTAAACTTGTTTTGTCTTGAGATATTTTAGTCGGAAATTTTTTAATTACGCACAATGAGGCAAATCTATTTTGCGCGACTCGCGCGGATCGTCTTCTTTTCAACGATAACGTTGATGACTCCTTATCAATATGTTGGAGATACATCGGTATCTTATCGAGGTGTTTGCGAGTCGCGCGAGTTACTGTGAAGTCAGTAAAGTCAAACGGCCGTGTGACAGCATTTCTCGCGCGCGACTCTTCGTGACATCGTTCAAGTGAGATGTGTTCATACCGGTGACACATAGCGCGAGATTTCTCGTCACGTCTATACCGTAGTTCTGTCATAGGAAAGTTTGCCAAGTGACATCGCCGTCGGCCAGGCAAACTTTTTCGTAACTTTTCGCCGGGCGGCGAGACGACGTCGACGAATTTTCTCATCGCTGCTGAAATTCTGTCGTGTTCCGTTTGTGGAAATAAAACGGGGATAGATCTCGTTAACAAACAAGTATCGTATATCACGTCCGCGACGCAATTACAGCAAGCATTTTGATCACGGCGGGTTTCGTTGGTCAACCAATTCCCGCGTGATTTTTCTTTGGGCGCTGGTACACTGTCAGATGTATTTTCGTGCATTCACAACAGTTCGACGTTATTTCTCATTATATCTATTTACAATGTAAAACACAAGGAGCAACTCTAAGGCCCGGTTTCACTAGCGTCGCTTAACTTTAAGCTTAATTCTTTGTCTCTTTCCAACTGTTACTTTAGAAAGAGACGAGCAATGAATTGAAACCAAGATTAAAGTCAAGCGACGTTGGTGAAACCGAGCCTAAGGGCCAGTTTCACAAACGTCGGTTAACTGCTAACCAGAGTTCAATCGACTCTATCTTTTTCTATCTTATTATCTAAGAAGAGACAGCGAATTAATTAACCTTTGGTTAGCAGTTAGCCAACGTTTGTGAAACGCCCTAAGAGAAGAAAGGGAAGAGTCGGCCTTGTCTTATTTGTAGGACAGGCGTACGCATAGTCCTTTTCTTTCCGTACGGAGGGAATTTTCTTTTAAAATTTATCCTGAAAATCATGTGATCGTGGAACGAGATGGCATTTTGAAGAACTTTGTGAGTTTTTTTGAAAGTTTACCACACACTTTACTAGTAAAATGTATACTAAGTGTAATTACTAGTGAAATGTATGGTAAAATTTCAAAGAACTCGCAGAAATTTCTTTGAAATGCCGTGTTGTCCCACGATTACATGGCTTTTCAGGATAAAGTTCAAAAGAAAATACCGTGTACAAATTGAAAGTCCATTATTCTTTGCGGCAACATCCTCGCGAGGTTTGAAATTGCCTAATGTCTCGAGACCCTCAAGGGGATGCTGGAGTGATTCTGCACTTTTGGCACCTTTTGCTCCTAAAACTGTCAATTCATGAAAACACTTGTGTAATATACAAATTATGTGGCTTTTGTCCGCAAACCGACAGTGTCCCACTATTCAGATAAAGTCAAAGAACAGCATAGTGTCATTGAAATTAAATATAGGAGCTTAACAAGAAGTCTATTCACTCGAATAAGTTATAGGCTACCTAACCGCATAATTTGTGTATTACACAAGTGTTTTCACGAATTGACAGTTCTAGGAGCAAAAGGTGGCAAAAGTGCAGAATCGCTCCAGCATTCCCTCAAATGCGGCACAATTCGTAGATTCGGTGTAGCGACAAATTATCTCGGTGGGACAAGAATGGCTGTTATACTTGACACTTGTTTAGCGATCCTCGGATATCTCGGCGAGAGTTAAGCCTGCCGTGTAATCTCGACTCCTGTACCCCGGCGCCAATTATCCGACGCGTCTTGCGGGGCTGGAAGCTGTTATTAAGCGTTGTGTAGCGCGCCGTATACACGGAGCCACGTGTACTTTACGCTGATTCGTTCCCTTTAATAGCCGCCTGCTCGCAGCGAATCGGATGGAGATAGACGAGGGTGAAGCTGCGCGAATTGAAGTGCTTCAATCCGGTTGATTAAATCGCCTTTGGTTTACAGAGGCTACCGCGTTACGAAGGCAACCTCTGCATATCCTTGTACGCGCGTGCTAAAGACGCGCCTTCGTAAATTCCCTCGAGGGTCTACGAGCGCGAATGCTCAAATATCCTTTAAAAGACCTTGTTTTATCGTAACACTGCAGCACTGTTGCGGTACAGCTGCTGCGAGATACATAAAAAATACGTGTCTCCCGTTTTAAAGTTCTGCGCGACTTAACCGTTGCATTGTGGTTTCGTTTTTACGATTCGCATAAAGCGACCCGCCGCACTCGTTCACGATTCTCTAAGAGTTTTCTCGTCAAAAGCCTTTAAATCTTTATTACCAAGAATTCCTTTTCTCTAAAATTCAGGGAAATATTACGTCGTCGCGACGTCTGACAAAATTAGATTACGTCTTTATAGACTTACGTCTATATGGCCCGGTTTTTCACTTTCTGGTTAACTGTTAGCCAGAGGTTAGTCAACTCTCCATCTTTTTCTGTATTATTGCCTAAGAAGAGACAGATAATCGACTAACTTCTGGTTGACATTTAACCAGAAAGTGAAAAACCGGGCCTATGCGGACTATTTGTCTGCCGAGAGAACATTACCCCGAGGTTTTCTGCTTTGTTAATAATTTTTGTACGACTTGGATTATA